TTCCTTTATTTGGTAAAGCCATCCTCTTACCACAGCCCCTTACTGTATTCACCGCTTCTCTCACCACTTCCAGATATGCTGCATTTAGCTGTCTTCCCAATCAAGATCCCCAAGACCGCCTTAGGATTGTTGGTGTTATCTAGCCAATCGAGGATTTACATGCACAGTCTTATGCGGTATTACTTTCTGTGATGCTATGTCACACGTAGTGCCCAGTCTTCTCTATGGCTCGGGACTCCTTCCAAGAATTCTTTATAGGCCAAATATGTACTTCACATGGTCTTATCGTTACAGGGTTTCGTATTCGAAAGCTCCCGTAGGTTACAGAGATAATTAATTAAATTAATTACCACTAGCTATAATCGAACCGTTGACCTCGTCTGTGGAGAGTTAGGCACCTAGACCACTAGGCTATAGGATCCTAACCCGGTCAAAGTTCTTTTGAAATTTTTCTTTTGAGATTTCTTAAAATTCTTCGTTATATTTTCTGGTTTGTTTTAGGCTTGTTTCTTCTAATTCTTCATCCATGTGATGGAATCGTATGAGGTGTTCTCCAGGGTTTTCAATGTACTTATCACATTTTTTACAGTAGTTCGTTTTGTTTTCTTCATTTTCTAGTCTGATTGCAATTTGTACTATTGCTAGTTTATTTTTATTTATTCCAGTTTGGTACATTGTTAAGAGTTTTGCTTGGTTTCTCATAGCTTGACAATTATGATTTTCTAAATCTTCAACATGTTCTTCGCACCATTGGCAGTAGTTTGGTTTATTTATTTTAATTTTCTTCGATTCTTTTTATAATTTCTTTGAGTTTTAGTGTTGTTGGTTCAGTTATTTATCTGATAATTCTTTCCTTTTCTTCAGTATAGGTTGAAATTGGTTTTTCTGATCTAGCTGTCTGTTGGTTTATTGCGTCTACTAATTCTTTCGATCTTTTATGTGTAATAAAGAAGTTATCTTCCTTTCTTAATTTCTCAAGTTCTTGTATTGCTATTCTGTAGAATTCTTTTAGTTCTTTTCCTGGTTCAAGATCTTCGCAAATATGTTTTAATGGGTAATTATATTTCTAATTTAAATGACAATAAAGGCAATGGTATCTTGCATTCTTGTTATAAATATTATTTCGTTTATATATCTTTCTATTTCTTTCTTTTGTTCATTGAAAGTTGGTTTTTTGATTATATGTTATTTATTCTTTTTATTATTTCTGTTTTCTTCTCTCTATTAATCAGTAGTTTATCTTCAAGTTTCTTAATTATTTCATCAATTAATATTCCAAGTTTGCTTTTAGTTATTTCAGTTTTGGTCATTTAATAATAGCTTCCTCGTTGGTTTGCCAAGTATAATATTTCCAATTGTTCCAGATAATATTTTTATTTTAGTTTCAATAATTTCTTTCTTAATGTCTTCAGTTCTTTCTGGGGTTAGTCGAATTGATTTGAAGTTTGTTAGATTGTAATCTGGTCTTAGGTCTAGTCCACTTTTCAATTGTTTTTGTATTAGATTGTTTAACCAGTATCTATGTTCAAAGTCTTCTGATTTTTGTTCTGCGAGTGCTATTGCTCCTAAGATAATTAAATATTTGTTAAGGTCTCGTTTGTTCTTTGATTTATTAAATTCCTTATAGAGTAAACTGTTTTCAATTCCTTGTTGTTTTTCAGTGTAAGATATAGTTATTACTTCTGATTTCTTGATATGAGTTATATTATAGTTTTCTGATTTTAGTTCTTGTTTAGGCTCCAAATAGTTTATCTGTTACTGGCAGTTGGTCATATATATCTTGATTATTTAATTTACTTTTTAGTACTGTTAGGGTCAGACAGGTTATAGTATTTGGGTTATTGATTCTAGATTGTATCCAAGATTTAATTTCTTCAAATTCAAGTTCTTTTAGGGTAATGATTCTGGGTACTAATTTCTTGAGTTGTTCGATTTGTTTCTTAATTATTCTTTGGTTCCTTTTTAGTTCTTTGATTATGTGCTGGGTGTCTACCATTTAGGGTTTGTTATAGTTTTCTGTTATGTTTTAAATATTTTTTAGTCAGTTGTTCGAGGTGTCTTTATATAATTATTTCTTATCAATAGTTTATTTTAAATCTGAATTCATATTACTTGTTGATTGTATTTCATCAATGAGTTCTTTATTTGTGTCGCGTAAATATTCAATAAACACATCTCATAATCTTTGTTTGTTTTGACGTCTGAAGATGTGTTCAAATAAGTGATAAGGTAAATCTTTCTTATTTCGGTTTTGGTCTGGTATATTATCTTTAAGAATTCGCCAAGTACACTCAATGTTGTTTGTATGCATTATTTTTAGTTTATTTGATCTTTCATCTATTTCTGTTATGGTCATTCCTTTGCTATGATTTATTTGGTGGTGTGCAATATTTAGCCATTCAAATATTTTGTCATAACTTTTAAACATATCTGTATAGATCATCGATTCTGGGTGTATGTGTTTCTGGATTAAGTTTAATAACATTTCAGATGTTCTATCTAATACTACTTCTGCAAAGAATTCTTTTGTGTTTCGGAATATTCCTCCGAATACCCATACTTTATTTGCTTTGTTGTTTTTCCTATCTTTGTAAAATATTAATTCGTCACATTCTACAATATTATCTTTGCCTCCTATTTTGTTTTCAAATTCTCTTATTTTTTGAGTTACACATGTTCTAAATATTTTGGTCCAGTGTGTTATTGTTGGTAATGAGATTTCTGTAAAAATATTAATTTGTTTTCTTCTGGCTTTAGCAAGCCAATAATATCCAATTAATAATATTTGGTTACAAGATAAGTTGATGTTTGAAAAGATTGTGCCATTAAATAATGATATCTTTAATCTACAGTCTTGATTTAGGTATTTAAAGATTTTCTCACTTAAGGTCATTTACCGTAAACAATAAATATTTAGAAATTTAAGTTCTTGTAGTAGTATTTCTTTGGTCATGAGGTATTCTATACATTTTGATTCGTCTTCAAAGATTTCTTTAAGTTTGTAATATGGTGGTATAGATCTAGTATTGGAAATATTGGTTTTTTCCATCAGATGTTTTCTTGTCAGTTTTGATTAAATTTGCCTTTTCCAGCTTTGGATTAGGTTTATTTTCGTTGGGCGTCTTCAGGTTAAAGTCATTCCATTGGGCACCTTTATATCTTTGTCTTTGATTCTAATATTTAGTTTCACAATCTGATTTTCATTTTCGTCTATTTCTATTTGTCTACTTAGCCAATTTGCTATAGTGTTATCTTTTCCTTTGATTCATTCTATAGTCCAATTGAAGTCTTGTAGTTTGATAAGCCATCTTTCCATAGTTTGATTTCTTGGCATTTTTTCTGATAAGTCACTTATGCTAGTGTTATCAGTTCGTACAATTACATTTTTGGATCCTATGTAATGTTTCCAATAATTTAAATAAAAATTTATTGCGTATAGTTCTTTTTGTATACTTTCTTATAATTGTTCATTGAGTTTGAGTATGTGTGATGCTAATTCAATAATTTCTTCTTCAGATTTTGTGTAATCATCTTTATCTTTTGTTCTATTCATTCGTGCATTTTTTGTTTTGTAATGTGCTAGATTTGGGTTTATTTGTTTTAAGCATGCGCCTATTTCTTTATCTAAGGCATCAGTTTCTATTATTAATTGATATCCTCTTTTGGGATATGTTAATGCTATCACATTATACACCTTGTCTTTTAGCATTTCAAAAGCTTTTTGGTGTTCTTGTGTTTATTCAAAATGTGAGTTTTTCTTCAATAGGTCATATATTGGTCTTGCAATATCTCCGAAATGTGGTATGAATCTTCAAAAATAATTTATTAATCCTGTGAATTGTTGTACACCTTTCTTATCTTTTGGTGGTTTGATTTTTTGTACTTCTTTTTTCTTTTGGTTAGGTAATATTTGTCCATGTCGTACTTTATGATTTAATATCATTATTTTTTTCATTATGAATTCGCATTTTTCTGCTTTTAGGGTAAGACCCGCTTTTTTTATGCGTTCAAACACTGTTTGAATATGTTGAAAATGCTCTTCTATAGTTTGGCTTCCTATAGTTAAATCATTCGTGTATACATATACATAATCTAAATCTTCAAATAGTTGAAACATATATCTCATCATATATGCTGGTTCTGTACTAATTCCTATTGGGCATTTTGTAAATCTAAATTTTACTACACCTGGAAAGTATACAGTACTTTTATCCCTATCTTCCATTTTTAATGGAAACTGATAATAAGCACTTTTAAAATCACAAGTCGAAAAAATTTTTTGTCTTGCTATTTTTTGAAGTATTACAGGTATATTTGGTATTTCTATGGATCTTTCTTTAAGTATTTGTTTAATAACGTGTAGTCTATTGTGGCTTTGTAACTGCTATCAGGTTTTGGTACTATTACTAGTAGTGCTATCCAGCTTGCTCTGGAAGGTTCAATTATGTTTGATTCACTAAGTTCTTTATACAATTTCTTTGATTGTTCTATTTGTTTGTCAGAATAATTTCTTAATAGTCTCACTTTATGGTTCTGTGTTATATCTCTTTCTGGAGTGTCTAATTCTAATTCTATTTCTCCAAGTCTTCCAAAATATTTTTTGTTAAAAGTTGTTCCTTTTTCTTTCTTCATTCAGAATATTTCTATATATTTTATGAATATTGGTCTCATTTTATCTTTATATTCTTTATTTGTATTTTTAATAAGTATTTCCATATGTTCTTTTTCTGTTAACTCTTTTTCTCTGATCTTTATGTCGTACTTGTACTTGTTTGTATCATTAAACTCTTTGATTTTCTTCAGATCTTTACTTATTTCATTAATTGTTTGTATTTTATCTATTTTGGTTATGTTTCCAATATGGTCTTCTTTTCGTATTACTTTGGGTTTGTTTGTATAATTAATCATTCTGATTGTTCAATCATTTATTAATTCGTTTTGTACACATATTCCCTCTTTTGCAATATGCAACGGTGTTGTTACTAAATAGTTTCCTATTTTGTCAATATTAATTGCTGTTCACATATTTGGTAGCAATACGTGTTGATCATTACTTTGTAATAATTTTCTAGTTCCTAATATAGGTATTATATATTTTCTATATTCATTTGGTATGTGTGCTAATTCTTCATGAATTTTTAGTTTGATTCCTTTTTCAAGTTTTACTGGTTTTGTTTTATCAGAAAGTTCGAAAGGTGTTAAATAACTAACAAAAAAGTGTTAACCTATATTGGGTTTGTTAAACTACACTTTTTATTAATAAAATTAGTATTAAATAACACTTTATATATTAAACAACTTTAGTTATTTAACTGCATATCATGTTTGTTGACATGATATACAGTTGAATAACTGAAGTTGTTTAATGCATAAAGTGTTATTTAATACTAATTTTATTAATAAAAAGTGTAGTTTAACAAACCCAATATAGGTTAATACTTTTTTGTTAGTTATTTAATGCCTTCGAACTTCCTGATATTCTAATATGTTGATTTCTCTATCTTTGTTTTCATATCCATAATCTGGTGTTTTCCCTTTATTACCAGGTGTTCCAAGTCTATTGGTTATTGGTTTTAGATATAGTGAGTTTGATTCTTGGTTTATTTCTATTTCTATAGGATTTTGGTTGTATTCTGTTATTATCGATAGTTTTTCATTTCTATTATTTTGTTGTTTTTGCTGCATTTTAATATATTTTTCTCTTAGTTTGTTTTTATCATATTTTAATCTTTGTCTATAGTCTCGCATTGTCATTTGTTTTCTTCTTTTAAATGAGTCTTTTCTTGCTATTTCAAATTGACCAGTTGGTTGTTTAATTTGGGTTGTAGCTTGGTTTTTCACTACATTTTTAGCTATATTTTTATTATTATCTTTTTTGAAATATAATAGTATTATAAAGTTAAGTGTATTTTTTATGAATGACAGTGCTGGTGACTTGGTTTGTTCTTGTTCAATTTGTTCTATTTGTTCAGATTGTTCTTAAATTACACTTGAGTCACTTTTTGCTCTTAAGTATCCGTCATCTCCTACTTCGAATTTGGTGTTTTCTTGGTTTAGTATTATATTTTGTATATTTGGTTCTAATGGTATTATACTTGGTATACTATCTGTATCTTTAAATGTTGAGCCATCATCTCAGTTTAGTGTCCTTGAGATATGTTTCTTATAATTTCTTTATCATCTCTGGACTGATTGCTATTGTATGTTGAGTTACTTTTGTATGATAAATCGCTTGTTGATTCATTATTTACTTTTTTCCTATAGTTGTTAAAGTCTTGTTCAGTGAACAGTACTTAGTCACTTTCTGGTTCTGGTTCGTAGTTTGAATATGTTATTTGGTAGTTATAACGTGGTTCAAATCTACTTTGTTCTGGTGCTTGGAATGTTGATCCAGGTCTATTCCAGTGTTCGAATTTGCTTCCAAAGTTGTCTAAATCTCTTTGGTAAGCTTTATCTTCTAGTAGACTTTCTGAGTTGCTTTCTCTGTCTAAAGTTTCATATAGGTTTTTTACTTTTTTCTGTTTTCTTCTTCTAATTGTTTTCACCTTTCCAATTCTTTTTTTATTTATTCAAGTAGTTCTTCTTCATTATTTATTTGTTTAGTTGGTTTTGTGTTTTCAATGTCTATTATTGCAAAATCTAGATATTTTTGATTTGCTTTTTCTCTGATTTCATTATCAGGTTCTAACTCTAATGTTAGCAGTAATGTTTGTACTACCGCATGTCGGTCTAATTTGTCCATACTTCTGAATCCTTCAGGTTTCATTTCCAAGGTTTTCTTGATATCTATCTGATATTCTTCTTCTTTCTTTCTTATTTCTTTTTTACAGATTTCTTTGTATAATGTTTTTGGTTATCATACCATGTTAGGAAGTTGTAAAGTTCTTTTTCTGTTCCTCTATAGTTTTTAACTTCTTCTAGTAAGGTTGGTATACTTTTGATTCTTTCTATTGTTTTGTAAATATCTTTAAAATTTATTCTATTTACTTTGTTATATTGTGTTTCAATATCTAATATATTTAGTATTAAATCTTCTAAATCTTCTGTTATTTCGGTTGATTTTCCTTTATCTCGTTCTTTTTTGATTTCTTCAAGGTCTTTATTTATTGTGTTTAGCATTCCTGAGAATGCTGCTATTATTGGCGTTTTTAGTTGTTTCATTTTAGTCAGTTTTATTGCTGATGAGTATTTGTTTCTTATATGGTTTATTTTACTCGCTATCTTTCCTGTTTTTTCATCAAGTAATCATTTACTCTCTGCTTCTTTCTCCGGATTTTGGTATTTCTCTTGTTTTTCTATCTTTAGATTTGCTATAGCTTTTGTTATATATTCTATTGGATCTTCTTTAAATTGGTATATTTTATGTAATGGTAATTCTCCATATTGTAATCCTTTGGTCAGGTCTCATTTATTTAATTCCTTGATTCTTATTTCAAGTTCTTTATCGAGCTCTCTATCACTTGGTAATATATCATTTGCATAATACCTTAATATTCATACTTCTTTTATTTGTTCTTCTTATCCCAGTTCGTTTTTCTGGGTGTTTCCAGTATACTTGCATGCATTCTCTGTACTAATTCTTTAAATATTTCTTGTGCTAGCTGTCCATTTAGCAGGTGTTCGTGGATATTTTGTCCACTTCCGAATACCGTTGGTTTAATATTTATTATCTGGCCAGTTTTTGTTTTTTGTATTCTAGCGTGAATGACATTATTCATATATAATAGTCGTATTTTCTTTCTATAATTCTCAATCACTTTGAGGTGTTCTTGCCTGCACCGCTAGTGAAATAATGTTGTGTGTCAAAGTACAGCTTTATCCTGTCTATCGCTTTACCGGTTACATTCTTTTTATACCTTTCGTCTTTTGGTATATTATTCTTTATCTTAAGCAACTCTTCAAACATTGCTCTATAACATTTGTTTGATGCTGAGTTTTCAAGTAAGATGATTATATCAGTTGATGCAGTCTGGAGCAGAATATATTTTAGGTTTTTGGTTATTTTTTTTGGGTCTGTATCCTTGGTTGACCCTATATGGAGTACATAGTTTCATGCTCCTATATTATGTGCTCTTTGTATTTCTTGCACTTTCCTTTTAGTTTTCCAGTTAATTTCTTCTTGTCTATTCAGCAAGTTATCACTTATTGTTAAACCCATAGAAGTATATATCACTAGCTTCAATTGTGCTTGTTTATTCCTTTGAATGATTTTAATATCATTCTAGATATCTGGCAATCCTCTTTGCAGGGTCGCAAAGTTGCCATAAGCCTCATTTTTGAATTCTTCTTTTACAGGTATATACTGTACAAAGGTTTGTATGAAATTTGCTCCAGTTTCTATTACAGCCTCTACTATGGCATTTCATATGCCATCAGTTGTTATGCCTATAAGTTTCTTTCTATTTCTATTTTGCTCACATATTTTCAGAAATATTTGTAAGACATTCTCATAAATGAATCCTTTGGATATCAGTTGATATTTAGGCTGTTTCTTCTAAAACTGTTTTTGTGAGATGAAATCTAATTCTTTCTGCTTTTTGTATTCCAGATAAGTTTTCCATTTCTTTAACTTTTCTAGATCTATGATGTTGGTATATTTTGCACCTTTATTAACTTTTCTAATCCTTGTTAATTTTCATTTTGAACAACCAATTATTGGTTTATTGTTTAGTTGCTTTTTCCTTAATATTTTATTTATAAGTGTCGGTCTTCTCATTAATAAGAATATTTTATTAATGTTGCCTTTTGTTTCTTGTTTTATTTGGCTAGTTGTGGGTAAGATGTTGGTGTGTCTTACATCTCTTTCTTGTTGGTCTTGGTTTTCTAAGAATGTTACTTTTTTCTTAATGTCAGTAGGCATTACATCTTTTGGTTGGATGTTTTTGATAATGTTGGGTGCCTTACATCTCTCTAGTAACAAAGAGAGCAGCCAATGTTGATTATCTAATAGGTCTTTGTTATTTTTGAGATGAATATTTGTTTGGGAGTGTCTTTTGACATGTTGGGCGCCTTACATCTCTTGTTGTATCATTTCGCAATTTGATTCTTAGGCGCAGTTAAATCAAAATCACTACATGAGAGCAGTTGGTGGATTAAGAATACTTCAAGATGGTCTGAAAGGGTATTGTCGAAAGTAGTATGACTACAAGCGAGGTTGCCACCAGTATCTCTTAATGAAGTGTTACCTGTACCATTTGTACTCCTTGTACTGTTTGCTCAGATAGGTCTAGTTAAAATTATATATTGGTTGTTAATTGGTTGTTTATTAATAAGGATTTGTTGGATATTAGAATCTTTGGTGATTCTTATCATCATTTGATGTTTGTTGCTTAAGAGGATATATTTTGATTCTGTATTTAGAACATCTATTTTTACTTTTGGTGTTAGGTATTCATTTATTTTAATATCGACTACTAGTTTGCCTAATATTTCTATATTACTTCCTACTGCTTCTGTATTGGCTGGTTTTGCTATTAATTTGTCTAGTCCAAGTTTCTTTGTATGGTTTATTCCCATAGATGTATTTGTTGATCCTTTATCTAGTTTTAGTTCAATAGGTATATCGTTTATTAATGCTACTAAGTAGAATCCTTTAGCTTCTTTAGGTCGTAATTTGTTCATTACAGTTCGTTTTGGAAAGAATAGGTTTTTATACTTTTCGTCAGAATACATTCTTGTATTTTTAGGTCTATTAAATATATGTTTATTATAAGTAAATATTTCTTTGTTATTACATGGGTTAAATATATTATATGTTACTGTTTTTGTACTATTATTATGAATGTTACTGTTATGTTTTTTACTAAGAATGTTATCTCCAATACAGCCTTGTTTGTTTGGGAGTTGTTCATGAGTATTGGGCATGCACCCATTTAAAATAATCTTGTTCGGGTCCGTAAAAGTGGTTATCATAGACTTGGTCATCATCATTATAGTAATAATTCTCTAGGTTGTTTTTATTGAATTTTGTTATTTTTTGGTATCCCTTGTATGGATCATAGTATTCGTTTTCTGGTTTTTCGAGATTTGCAATTTCTAGGTCTTCGTCATTGCTTGATTCAAAGTTTTGTTCTTGTTCCCATTCTTTGAATTGTTGGAAGTCTTAATAGTCTAAATATTCTTGGTGGTCGTTTTGGTCTGATTGTTGTTCAACAGAGTATGTTTCTCTATACTTTTTCTTTTTATAGTTAAATACCATTGGGTCTTCAATTCCTTCTTCTTCTTTTCTGTATTTGTAACAGTTTTTAGTTGAGTGAGTATTGGTCTTGCAATGTTTGCACCATTTTTTGAATTTTGGTTTATCCAGTTCTGGTGGTTTTTCGTTGCTGGTTGGTAGTCCGAATATGTTATATGTTACCAGTAGTTTATATTCTCAGGTTTTAAATTCTGGTTTTTTTTTGGTCTCCATATAACTGTTTCTTGATTCAGTTTCTAATTGCAATTTTCTCATCTCTTGTTAGTTTCCTTTTGACTTTTGCTTTGTATTTTTTCGCTTTTTTATATTTTTCATTAAATTTATTTCTTGATTTAGAATTGCTATTGTTATTATGGTTTCCTTTTTTGTAGTTATTTCCTCTGTCATAGTTCTTTTTTTGGTATTTATTATTTTCTTTGTTATAGTTTCTGTTTTTCTGATAATTTTCTTTTTTATTTTTGACTCACTTTTATCTTTTTGTGGGCATTTG